GGCATCTTTAAATTCACTGTGGAAAAGATAGTGATTTTCATATCTTCTACATACATGCTGGCAGGAGAAAGAAATCGCTGGCTGACATTTTGAGTCATATGCACCCATCATAGAATCAAAGGGCTCTCCATCTCATCTGTTGTCTTATCCTCTTTGTAGACCTTTATTGGAAGGTGCTGTGCACACTTGAGGACCTGTCCTGAATGAACCACACTCAGGAGGGTATGAGCCCTCTCTGTGCTTGGTTAATAGGTGTGTTTTGTTGAAGCTGGTGCTGTTCTGCATGTGCAGACAATGAGAGCCAAGGCTTTGGACTTGGAGGCCGTCATGTGCCAGGCATGGTGCAGAGCAGTTTTCTTACATTATTTCATTACTTCCTCATAAAACCCTTTTAGGGTAAGAATTGTACGTATCCTTCAAATGAGGGGGACTGAGGCTCAGCATACCAACATGTGGAAACCAGGATTCCAGTTCTGAAGCTTGTGCTCTTATACTGTATGATGAATTTTGTTCCTTGTGGTAAACTCAGGAGCTGGAAAGGACCTGGAAAATACCTGCTCCTCTTCCACTTTCAGCAGAGAATGACCGACCCTCAGATCAGATGGTTGTTGGTGCTGTTTTGGAGGTGATTAGAGAACACACCAATAAGGTCAAAGAGCTAAAAACATATCTTATTTTATATTTCATTTTATTGACCATCTGCACTTCCTTATGTTTAGCTATACAATCTAAACTGTTAAAATTAAACCTGTTTCTTTTAGTTTGTTCTTCTATAAGTTTGGAAAGTAATGGGTCAACATCTTCCTAAAATTCTTGACATCCTTCAAAACCACACATTGATGCTGCTTTGGGACAGCCCGAGCGCGGCCAGAACCTTTTTTTGTGGCCTCATGATATCTCACACAGCGCCTGCTACTTCCAGTCATGATGAGTTGCCATCTTTTCATGGTTGTCAGGAGGGAAGTGCTTCCTCCAGTGAGTAAGTTTATTCTGTGGGTTGAGGAACCTCCTGACCGTGCTGTTTTATGATTTGAGGTGAAGTACCAAGAACTACCTAGCATTCTGTCTTCGAGGAGAACTCATTCTGTTGAAGGTCTCTACATGTGTGGCGACTTGTTAATTATTGAACAGAGTTCACATATGGTTCCTGCTCCCCTGTAACATATGGTCTAAGGAATTATCTCCCCTTTCTTTTATGTTCAGTAAATTAAAATTTTTTGTTTAAAAACTAAACTAGATTGATACCAGAGTTCACATATGGTTCCTGCTCCCCTGTAACATATGGTCTAAGGAATTATCTCCCCTTTTATGTTCAGTAAATTAAAATTTTTTGTTTAAAAACTAAACTAGATTGATATATGTTTTGGTGTAGTGCCCTTGTAGAATTTGCTCCCATGGAGTATAGAATTTTGTTCTCCAGATAACTTAATTTTCATACAGTGATCTGTTTTAAGTGATTAAACTCCACTGTATAGGTACTATACTGAACTTGTGGGTTTTGGGTGATATTTATAATGCTGTGTTTTGTTCTAGGTGATCATATTAAAAGGGACTGTGAGAAACTGGACCATGTCTAGAGGAGATTAGTGTAGGTGAGAATTTAGGGAAGGAGAAGTTGGAAAGACATTTTGTCCAAAGGCTAAGAATTCTTTCCAAGCAGAACTGTCCAGCAGTAGAATCAGCTGCCTTGTGACATTGGGAGTTCTGGCCATACCAAGCAGGGGTTAAGTTGACACCTCAGAGGTTTTTTAGAGAGGATTATTGTAACAAGGTGAAAGATCAATTTTCATGAACTCCAAAGGCTTTTTCACCTTTTTTTTTGTTTTAATTGCATTCTTGTCCCAGTATAACTTACACAGGAAAGTGTGCCCATCTTATGCGTGCAGCTTGATGAATTTTACATGTATGTACACCCATGTGCCACCACCCAGATGAAGGTGTAGAACACACTCCCTTGTGTCCTGCCAGTCCATACTGATGCCCTAAAAGTAGCCACTATTTTGATCTTTAGTACCACAAATTAATTTTGCCAAGTCTTGAATTTCATATAAATGTTATCATAAAGTGTGTACTCTGTGAAAGCTATCAAAGTGTTGCATGTAGCAGTGATTTCTTTGCTTTTTTATTGCATGGTAGTATTCCATTGTAAAAACAAACTATAACTTATTTATCCATTCTTCTGTTTAGTTGACATTTGGACTGTTTCTAGTTTTTGGCTACTATGCATAAAGCTGCTGTGAACGTTCTTGAACATATCTGTTAGGGTATATGATCAGATACTTCTGTTGGGTATATACCCAGGACTGGAATTGCTGGATTATAGGATATATTTATGTATAGTGTTAGTAGATACTGTCAGTCAGTTTTCCAAAGAGATTATTTACAATGTATGAGATTTCCAGTTGCTTTACACTCTTTTCAACAGGAGTATTATCTGTCATTTTATTTTTAGCCGTTCTGGAGGGGTCTAGTAGTATCACATTGTGGTTTGATCATGCATTCCCCCGATGCC